TAATTATTATTATAATGTAATAACTGTTACTAAGCAGAAATCACATTTAATAGTAAAGAGAAACCAGAGGTGAATTAGGTAGAAATTACACTAGATAGTATGACAGGCTCCTACAACACAGCAGAACGCTTTAAGTACTGTTTCCAGTGCTTAAAAGTGGAGGTTACATTACAGGTGATTAGATGTACTCAGCAGGAATGTTGGTAGTAAATATGACAGTAACTGATCCATATCAGACCTTCATCAAAGTTTCACAGTTGCAAAACTTTGCTAAATGTTTTAGACACAAGAAGACACATGGAAAAAAAACTTTAGTATTTTTAAAGGGGGAAAGACTGTAATAAATGCCACATATATTACTAAAAGTATTTTATTTTTTTGCCATTTTAATAACACACATTTTTTTGGACTAGCACTCAACCTATGGGTCTACAAAATGGCACAAGACCGAGCTAGCACCAACCTTGCCAGCAGTACACTATTTGAAAAGTTAAAATGACTATATGACATCATCTTGTCATTGCATCACACTGAAAGTTGAGCCTACAGTAACAAACACTAGCACTAAAGAAACCAAAGCCAGGGATTGGTTAAAACAGTACAGCTGATGATTCACAGTCAACCTGTGAAATGAAACATGAATATTCTCAACCACAGCAAGTCCCTAGTAAATAACCACTTTGTTATTAGTCCTAAAAGCATAAGTGAAGGTGCTGAGCAGAAAAAGTTAGAAATGTACCTCCACCAACCAGCTTCACGGCCTCCTTCCCACACACTGTGTACCAGGGCACAGCAGAAAATCTCATATTTCTACCATATACAACATGCTTTAAATGCGGGAGTAGCATGCATTTTTGAACATTGGAAGAACCAGTTCACCATCTCACACTGTGTTTTCATTTGTATTATAGAAGAAGACAGTCACATGATACTGACCCCCAGCTGAGTGATCACAATAGGAAAGGCTTTATAAGACTGCAAAACTCAGCAGCAGGCAATCCCAACTCGGATAAAAGCATGCTGAAAAGAATTTGTAAAAATAATGTTAGTTTTGCCAACACTTGAAATATATCAAAACTTTATTGGCAGAAGCTATAGGATTATAGCAGACAATATACACTGCCCACTTTACAGTTTTAGGGTAAAAAACATAAGCCATTATCAAAACTGAAATGTATTGACCTATAATCATTTAGATCTATTGGCCAGTAGTAGAATATTTTGTATATTTTATAATAAATCAATAGTTATAATTTCAGCATATAAATTATAACCATAGCAGTACAATAACTAAAATATCACATATGAACTGTGCTATGATAAATGAAGCCAAGAAGCAACAATATGCAGAAACCCATAACAAATCAAGTGTCACTTTTAGTCAATGAATTCATACATTTTAAATTATTAGATATTAATTATTTTAAATAGTTTATTGCATTTGGTTGTTGCACTTTAGCTCTAATGTCCTTGCAATAGTATCGAAAGCACATTCAGTACAAAACAAAGGTTCAAATGTGTAATCCATTGGGTTGGAAATTTCCAGGTATTTTCTGTCCTATCATACTGGTCAAAACCAATATGAATTCAGATAAGAAATCATTTTATGCTTAAATAATTTGTGCAAAAACATTCAAAAATATTCATACTGTAAAATGGTATAAATCAAAATGTTATTACAGTATTCATATTCGCTATGCATTTTATAGGGTTGCCAAATAATATGTCTACAGTTAGGGATGTTAAAATGGCTCCTACATTAATAAGTCCTGTCGTGCTGTCATACACCTGCCCCTCCATCAAATCTCTTTTGGCATAATTCTCATATGCAGATTTATGAAATGTATAAGCGTTCCAGTACAGAGTAAAGAAAATCTCACCCAGTATTCAAAGTGAGGATTATGCTATGCAGTTTGCTAGTATCTAGCTAGCATTGAAAATCACACATAGCTACAAATATATGAAAGAAAGTAGAGTTCTTGCCTACTCTGACCAATCAGATTCCTTGTTTCAAATAAACATTGAAACCTGACTGGTCATTAAGTGGAAATACTTAGCTTTTGTTTCTGATTTTCTCTTCTCCGGTTTTATAATGTACAGTATGTACTGTACCTAATGTACTGTATGAAGACTTATTACCTTAGACCATTAAAGCAAAAAGAATTTCTGCACATAAAAATGAATTGATTAAGCATGATTATATTTTCTAAATCCTTTCATTATGTAGCTGCTAAATACAATATATTAAAATAAGTGGCTACTTTCAGCAACAATCAAGTATACTGCAGAATATGATGATTACCAGCGAAGCATTGGCTAGGAGCTTAGATGTATTCCTGATATTTTCCTAATCCACCAGATGGAATGAAATCAATATTGTTCAACTGAAAAATAGGACAGCATGTTATTATCATAATTGATGTTGGTTTCTCAAACACACTTATATTTTTAATATAAGAAGATTGTTTATATTATTGTTTTCTCTGTGGATCTGCATTCAGTTTGAACATTCTCTCAAAAAAGTTTAAAACACTGGCAATTTCACCAAAATTTAGTGAATATTTGACAACCACATTGGTTCACTGAGCTGGCATAAACATATCTTTCCAAAGAGAAGAGCATGATCCAGTGTTTATCATTTATTTACAGCCACACGTGCAGATAACTAACTGATGAAGACGTCCAATGTTCGGAGCTTCTTCTGAGTACAGGGGTAAAGTTGTATAGGGTGTCCCAAAAGTCTAAATGCATAGGAAATATTAACAAACTCATATTATGAGTGGGGGAGAAGACTTTCCTCCTCATTTATGAGCAGAGCACTCACACTCTGTCTGTGTGTGTGTGTGTGTGTGTGTGTGTGTGTGTGTGTGTGTGTGTGTGTGTGTGTGTGTGTGTGTGTGTGTGTGTGTGTGTGTGTGGCCAACACGTAAAAAGACTATTTTGTAAAATTTTGGAATGAAAATTTTATAAATAAAGGTACATTTAGCTACAATTTCCCATTTTCAAAAAACAACAAACATTCCCAGCTCACTTACCAGCCAGCCTGCAACAAACCAAATCATCCTGTCTAACAGTTCACGTTAAAACAAAGGGTTTAGTTTGCACACATTTGCAAATACATGTGCAAGCTGCAGTGGCCACTTCATGGCACCCTAGTGTATCTGCAGTCCTAACTCTATAAAATTTGAGAGTCTGAAAAGTTGAAGCACACATATAATAATGGATAGATTGAGGGCAGGTTTGCCTGGAGGGAGCCCACCCCTCCTTAAAGATATAGTAATGCACTGGACACCCAACTATAGCACAATGGCAGCCAAAGGTATGCAGTGCATCCCCTCACAAAATAACCAACAGTACAAACAAATGGCAACCACTCCAATCAGTATTTGGCCTATGCAGCAAGGAGCACATGGAAGGGCAACGCATGTCAAAAAACAACAATTAGGTTCTGTAGTATTATGATTACATGTGAATCTCTCATTTTATCCTACTAAGGTGCCACAACAACGTGAGACATTATAGAAAATTGTGTATTAGGCAAAAATACAGCTTAATACAATTTTTAAACAGCAGATACATAGATTTTTTTCCAAAATTGCCTAAAACATATTTCCCTTTTTTTATTATAGTGTATTCCTGGTAACCTGGCTTATTTTTATTCAGTGAAAAGTTTATTTTTGTTAAACAGTTCTCTCATTCAAAACTGTATGTGCACTACGTTAATGTTGGATAAATACTTTGCTGAATATTGCAATTTTTTTTTTCTGGCTTTGGTTTCTTTAGTGCAAGTATTTGCTACTGTAGGCTCAACCTTCAGTGTGTTTTCCTGATCATAGTCAGAAAGAAGTACTTGCTTGTAGCTACTGGGAAAACTTTTATAGGTTTATTATATTAAAAAAACACCTCAAGACCACAGAAGAGTCTTCAGACAATGTTTTGGGGGTGCTGTGCTGGAGCTGAGAGTATAAGTGGAGGAGATAAGTCTCCACTCCTGAATCCCATGTTATAATAAAAAGCGGACATAACAATGACAAATGCCTATTCAGAATAGAAAGGATTGCAACATTATATAGAAACCGTTCATAGTTTAAAAGAAACAAAGACTGTAGCTCTTTATAGGAACATTGAAGAGTACAGAGTGTAGTGGTCAGAAGTATGTAACAGTGTGTGTTACATTGCTGGGCAGAAAGTGGAAAAATCAGTTCTATAATTGGTATCAGTGGGCGTAAGAATAAACCATAGTTACCAACATTTAAAAAGAATCAGGAGAAGCACCTTGAAGGATCTGAGAAGAACATTTTGGTGTGCTAGCTGGGCTGCCTGATGCCACCCGTGTATGTGGCATGCTGTCCACCCCCCCATTTGTAAGCATGGCCAAAAAAAGTGGGAATGGTCAATTAACTGAGTGGTACTTCACAGTGTATAGCTTGTATTGTGCCTCCTTTTCCACTTTGCTTTACTATGATTTAAACAAAATAGGGTCTGGGGTTAAACTGAACAGATTCAGGGGTGGACTGACAACTCATGGGGCCCCTGGGCAATAGGGGATCATGGGGCCCCTGTGTCCTTGCCCAAACTCAAAAAAGCCTATGATAAAGGTACCAGGGACATCTCATAGGGCCCCTACTGACCCCGGGCCCTCGGGCAGTGCCCGAGTTTCCAAATGGTCAGTCCGCCCCTGAACAGATTGTAGGAGTAAAATGAATCCCATTGTTGGTGTCAGTGCCAGCAGTGATAACCCTCAGCATGTGGCAGAGCCAGCAGCAAACCCCCAGAAAGTGTCAGTGTCAGCAATATTAACCCCTAGCCAGGGGCGGACTAACCATTTGGGAACTCGGGTACTGCCCGAGGGCCCGGGTCAGTAGGGGGCCCCATGAGATACCCCTGGTACCTTTCATAGGCTTTTTTGGTGTGGTTTGAGTGTGGGCGAGGACACAGGGGCCCCATGATCCCCTATTGCCCGGGCGCCCCAGGAGTTGTCAGTCCACCCCTACCCCTAGCACAATAATAATCACTAGCAATTGCTAGGACAAGCAATGACCCTAAACACAAAAATATTTCCCAGCAAATGTCAGAGCAAGCAATAGCCCCAACATATAATACCCTCCAGTGCAGCAATAACCCTCAGCACAATAAGAGAGAGAAAGGAGAGAGAGCTGAGGGTGGGAAGGTGGAGAGAGAAGAGAGGATTGGAGAGAGAAGAGACAAAAGAGAGACAGCATGAAGAGCAGGAAAAAGAGGGGGGGTAGAAGAGCAGCTGGAGAGAAAATGGAGAGAAGTGGGAAAGGGAGTGCAGCATGAGAGGGAAGAGCAGGGAGGAAAAGGAAATGAGGGTGGAGAGAAATAAAGATCTTGTCACCCACAAGAAGAGAAACTGAGACTAAGAGTAGGAATCAGACAAAGACCATAAAGATGCCATGACTTCTGGTATGGGATCCAGTAATCCAACTAGTCAAAGAAAAAAGCACTGTGCACCAGCCAGTCACAACCCAGACACAATCAGTAGGGGGGAGAGACATGGTGCCGAAACATTTTACACTGTACTCTAATATTTTGCAGCCGGTCCACTACTGCTCATGTAGTTAACTACTTCTAGAAGCCTTTTAGACCTGGCTTCAGGCAACAGATATTTTTTTTCCTGTCTTCAGCTCCCCTCCTCCTGCACAATCTAAAACAGAAGAATGGACATTGGAACTCTTGGCTTAGCTTAGTAAAATGTGGTGTCAATTGAAGGGAGTGCTTTTGGAGTGAGTTACTACTTGCTATTGGCTTAGAACTGAGGAAAGAGATGGAACAGCTGCATCAGTACAGCCTTCTCATGCTGGGTTTGAACACAGGTAAAGGCTGCACGGTATTGCAAATGTATATTGGTGGTTGGCAGAGGCCCAGCAGTCAGAAGTCCCACAGTCCATTGCAACACCATAGCATGCAATTTATTTGTTAATTAACTAGTGTTCATTATTACTAGTGTGATCACTGATTCTTTATTAACTTCTGATACTTTGATATGCTCTGAATTTTGTCACTTTAAAAATATTCAAAATTGCTTCCCCCTTCCCGCCTTTGCTTATTTTTTTCCAAGGGAATGAGCTAGCTCACAGTAATACCCAACTTACACTACAGTCCTGTGGCAGACATTAGTCTAGTCCTCAGCAGACCAGTCATCGCAAGCAGAATTAGATGGGAGAAGTATTGGGAGACCACGAAGAAGGGTGTGTATTACTGTGAGCTAGTTCAATCCTTAGTTACTTTGAATATAACCATTCAGGTTATATTACAAAAAAGCTAAAGAACCATTATATCTTTATTCAGTGCTAAACTTTACTGAAATGTATTGTAATTGTACTGTCTCCCTTATATTGTAAAGCGATGCGCAAACTGTTGGTGCTACATAAATCCTGTATAATAATAATAAACTGGTAGTAATTGAAAATGGGGACTGCATGCTGTCGATTTACTGTGACATCACTGGTATTATTCCTCTCAATGAATCTGCGAGTTTTCACAATAAAATAAAGAACTTACTGTATCTACAATTCTATCAGGCAAAAGTCCATTTTGAGAAATAATACTTCTTGCACCAATTTGATTGAACAGAAATAAGAACAATCAGAACTAATAAGTTGTGATTGTTCACATACAAAATCATGTGAATAGCATTTTTTTTTTTTTGCTTATTTCATTTGCAATGTATGAATGTTTTGAATGAATAGTTGCCATTATTTGTGTAGACTTTCTCAACTTCCTTAACTTAATATATTATAGTTTTTCACTGTTTTATAAGCATGCACAATTTTAAAGTGTGACATGTTTGGTATCTATTTACTTAGAGTAATATCCTCTTTTATATTTTACCCAAAAATTGGATATTATATTGTGTTTGTGTGCACTAAAATTAATTAAGGTGCAATTTTTCCAAAACATTTGTATTTGAAAAAAAAACTGCTGCACAAATATCACTTGACATAAAAAAATTTAAACACCCTCCATTTTATTCCCTAGGCCTCTGATTTAAAAAAATATAATATTTGGGGGTTGTTATTAGTTTTTTTATCAAAACAATGCTCATTCTTACATATATAGTTGTGCTCAAAAGTTTTGGAGAATTGTACACAGCATGTACCATTTTTAAAGAAAACACAAGTAAGTAGGCAAAACACATTTCTTTTAGTTCTTATGAGATTCATATTCAACTGTAGGTAACAGAATGGCACAATCATAAAACAAAACATGGCAACAATTAATCAAATTAAATGACCCCTGTTCAAAAGTCTGCATACCCTTATTTTTAATACTGCGTATTGCCCCTGTAGCATCAATGACAGCATGGAGTCTTTTGTAATAGTTGTCTATGAGGCCCCGAATTTTTGCAGGTGGTATAGTTGCCCATTCGTCTTGGCAAAAGGCCTCCAGGTCATGCAAAGTTTTTGGTCATTTTGCATGAACCACGCGTTTCAGTTCTCCACAGAGTAACTCGATTATATTAAGGTCAGAAGATGGTTCTGGCCACTCCAAAACCTTCACCTTTTTCTGCTGTCAGGGTCATTGTCACACTGGAAAGTCCAAAAGTGTCCAGTGCACAGCTTTCATGCAGAAGAATGCAAATTGTCTGCCAGTATTTTCTGATAACATGCTGCATTCACCTTGCCGTCAATTTTCACAGGATTCTCTGTACCTTTAGAGCTCACGCACCCTAAAACATCAGTGAGCAACCACCATGCTTCACAGTGAGGATAGTATTCTTGTCACTATAGGCCTTGTTGATCTCTCTCCAAACATAGTTCTTATGATTGTAACCATACAGCTTTATTTTGGTTTAGTCACTCCAGATTACAGTGTGCCAGAAGCTGTGAAGTGTGTCAAGGTCTTGTCATGCATATTGTAACCGGGATTTTTTGTGGCATTGGCACAGTAAAGGCTTCTTTCTGGCAATTCAACCATGCAGCTCATTTTTGTTCAAGTATAATTGTATTGTGCTCCTTGAAACAACCACACCTTCTATTTTTTGGAACAGCCTGTATTTTTCCTGAGGTTACTTGTGGGTTTTTCTTTGTTGTGACCACAATCTTTTTTGGTCTACCCGACCTTAAGGAAAAAATGGTGTAGCGCTGCCTTTAAACCCAAAACTATGTGAGTTTTAATAACGCATGATTTATTTTAGTGCATGTAAAACATTATACATTATAGGTGCTACAATACACCTCCCCCATCTGCTATGTACTGTTATCAAACCTGCAAACCTGTGCATACAAATTAAACAAATTTGAGACAATCTATACCCCTTACCAAAAGGTACAAACACTACAATGCACCTCCCCTATACAACATATCTTGGAAGTGTTAACACATTGTGCTAACTAAATTGTACCAAATAAAATATATAATGGAGTGTTCAACTGGATGCCTATGGAACTTCAGTGCACTTTCCTCCCTATATTATTTATTGTTATTATTACAGGATTTATATAGCGCCAACAGTTTGCTCAGCACTTTACAATATAACGGGAGACAATACAGCAACAATACAGTTCAATACAAGAGGGATTTGAGGGCCCTGCTCCTTGGAGCTTACAATCTAGGAGGTTAATAAACATATAATATGACAAAACAAAAAATCAGCATTTAAGCCCCTCAGTTCTTTGACGTCCCTGCTCCTTTAACAAAAGTTCAGTACAGTTCTTTGTGCTCTTGGTGCTTCAGTGAACATGCTCTTTGTTCAAAATTGGTGATAATAAAATCTGTTCTTCCACTCCTCTTATCCAGCACACTCACTGCAATATGTTGGCCCCTTGTACAAGCAGGTCACGTGCACTTAAGTTGATCTCCAATCATGGATGAGTAGTGATGTTATAATGCTGTATTCTTGACCTATACCTTTTATTATTCTTATTATTATTATTATTATACAGGATTTATATAGCACCAACAGTTTGCTCAGCGCTTTACAATATAACGGGAGACAATACAGCTCCTTGGAGCTTACAATCTAAGAGGGAGGGGCTAGTGGTACAAAAGGTAGTAACTGTGGGGGATGGACTGGTAGGAGGAGCAGACGATTCCATTATTAGCTGAGGGCAGGATAGGCTTCCCTGAAGAGATAGGTTTTCAGAGATGGCCTAAAAGTGAGCAGAGTAGGCTATAGTCTGATAAATTGGGGTAGAGAGTTCCAGAGGATGGGGGAAGCTCGGGAGAAATCCTGGAGATGAGCATGGGGGGAGGAGACAAGGAAGCTAGAGAGCAGGAGGTCGTGCGAGGAGCGGAGAGTACGGTTTGGGTGATATTTGGAGACAAGACCGGTGATGTAATTTGGGGCAGAGTTATGCATGGCTTTATACGTTATTGTAAATGTTTTGAATTTTATCCATTGGGCAATTGGAAGCCAGTGGAGGGATTGGCAGATTGGATATGCCGCGATGAGGTGGCCAAGGTGAGGGAGTTGGGCAGAGAGGGATGAGTTAATATCAAGATAACCGTATTTGCCGGGGACGACTTTTTTGCCCTGAGCCTCCAAGTGGGTCATTGGGATAGATATAGCTGCCATAGTGGCCTCCCGATGCCCGCCCCGCCCACCTGATCAGTCTGGCAGCAACATTCATGATAGACTGAAAAGGGGATAGCCTGCGTCTATGAGGTAGGCCAATGAGGGAGGGAGTTACAATAGTCAAGGCGAGAGATAACATACCTGACATTGAGTTAATATCAAGATATACTTGTACAGGCACAATCACGTACCAAGGCTTTCTTCTGGGTCCACTTGCGCATGCGCACGGACCCAGAAGACTATGCTGTCATTCACTGCAGGACAAGCCAATCAGCAGGTCCCGGCCAAGGATTTAGGGATGGGATCTGCTGAATGGCTACTTGAATAATAGAAGAGAGCCCTGTGCTGGTAAAAAAAGAGAAACAAAGTTGTGGGGCACAGAGATTATAAAAATCGTAAGAAATTTTTAACATAACATAGCATCACTTACATGTGAATAAACTGTGTGAAGCTCATGGTGCAGAGAGACAAGCTGTAAACATGGCAAGATGGATACACTTTGATTGGTAAGCCAAGAAGAAGCACAGGACCCACCACAAATGGT